CAACCCTATCAGGACCAAGAATAGAAATAGCCACCTCAAAGCAATCTTGAAGCATTAAGCAAATAGTTGAGGAACAGATCATATTTAGTAGAGATTTTGGCTTCCAGACACGAGGATGACAAATTCTACAGACTCGGATATACGCACTACACAGGGCAGCCTGTCAAGCAACATACAAACAATATTTTTCAAACCAAGAGGCCGTGTACGAGTCAAAATATCTTCCAATTTGTCTTGTAAGGAAAAAGGAAAAAGGCGATAAATTAGGAGAAAAGATGGTTAATCTTGACCTGTAACTCGGAACTTTTTGTTTTTGGAAGAGAGTTAAAGAACACAATAACTAATTCAGCAGCTGTTGATCTAACAATGTCAGCAGGACATCTGGAATGCAGAACATCAAGACAGCTACCTATAGTGGAGTCAAAAGCCATGTTTCTGCAAGGAAAAACAACATATTTTCTAAGGCAAAAGAAAAAGAAACATTTGATATGCTTATATCAGAATAGAAGTCCATTTAAGAATGATATGTTATTTGTTAAAGGTAATTTTGGGCTCTAGGATATTGCATTTTTGCATCAGGTATATAAAGAACGACCATTACCAGGAAAGAGGCACATACACAAATGAGACTTAAGTGGGTAATAGGTGATGGCACCTATGTTACTCAGACAAGGATTAAGTGTCAACTCGGATATGGGTGTCCAAGTGTTGGACTCTGCCATTTTGTATTAAAAGTCAAATTTTTAGTTAAAAATGAAGTATCCAAGTGTCGTGTACACGACCCGCGATTTTTGAGGTAAATCAAGGTGTTAAAGTAACATAGGGTGAAGGTGACATTTGCACAAATATATGTCCCCTTGTTTCTCAAGTATTCTTTTATCCTCAACAGCAAATCTCAAGTACTGAGGCATTTGATCCTTCACATCAACCGAACTGTCATAAATACAAGCAGAATAAATATTTTGTATCCACAAACCATCAAATATTCCAAGTAGAATGGTGCATTTTCTATCTGTGCTTTACATGAACAAGAAATAAAATATTTTAAATTTATCTTCTACCATAAATCCTGACTTTACACCTGACTCCTTTGATACTGATACTTACAAAAAGTACTTTGACGGAAAGGAACTCTGGAATTTTCTGGGAGACTAGGAGAGTAGTCAACCATCTATAATATGAAAAAAGTCATAGGAACAGGTGTATTCAAGGGAAAATAGGTCAAGGCAAGTAGTGTAGATATTTTTAGTATTTGAACAATAAAGAAACTATATCATATTCTGAGATTTAGCCGTATGTTGCGAGAAATCCACTGACATCCTGGCCTGGACTGGTCGGTCAGTGGCTGCTAGGTTTGTTTCATTAGTAACGAAACATCAAAGAAGAACAGAAATTTCAGATAATTAATATATTGGCATAAGATTCAATCATACTGACTGTGTCTATTATGGTATTACCTTTACACATCCTAATCAATCATGAAAGAACTTCCTATATGAAAACAGGTCCGGAAGGCTCTTTTTTTCATAAGTAAAGGAATTCAAAGGAGCAACACCTAAATTAACAAAGAGCAAAAACTTTACAGGATTCCACAAGGAAACAATTAAAATAAGACAAAACTTCAAAACTGATGCCCACTTCTACAAATATTTTGACACATCAATCTTAAGGAAGCTAGAAACTTAATTTTCCAACTTCATGCTAAAAATCATACCTGAACACAGGAAGGTTTCCATCAGCTTCGCTTAATATGATTATTATGGAAAAAATTAGTTTCTCATATGGAACAATCTCATAGTTCATCGCCATTCCAGCAATCCGAGCGAAATCAAAACATGCCTACCATAAAACATGATAAATAGCCATACTAGAATGAGACCATGAATAGAAGAAACCAATTTCAAGAAAGGGAAAAGTGAACAAATGTCAAATAGAAGAAGGTGCCACCAACCATATGCAAATCAGCATCTTCATAGCTTAACATGGAGCACACAGCCAAAATAAAAGAAGAGGTCACAAGTCCTTCCACATAAAGAGTTCCCTCAGTCAAGCATTTACTTAGGAGCCAAATGATCCAAGTAGAAAATAATGTCCACCTCTCCTTTAACGTGAGATCAACTAAAATACCATACCCATCGCCAGGCTTGTTACATTCTGGGAGATCACCGAGTAATGCTCCACCATTATAAATTTCGGTAAATGACTTTGAAAAGCATTTAAGAGACACTTGAGCAGATTCTGTAATGCTTGAGTTGCGGTAGTGTAGTGATCCTACATACCCAAGATCTGTACCATAAGAAACCTAATTTAGAAAATGAAAGAGACTTGTAAAATTGGCATGAATAGCATCTACAATATAGTTTTCTTCCGATGCCTTGAATATGTTAGCATTTGGGGAACATAACTAGTACCCACAACTTCAATAAACTTGTACTAATTCACAATATAAGCCTATATGTATTGGATGGGAAGGGTAATTTAAGCAGAAGAAAAGTTCCTAAACATATTCAGAAAGAAGCAACAGAAAAGCAGCATATACCCATAAAGTGCTCCCTCTATCCATTTTTTGTTCTTCCTTTTCGACCACTCCTTTATTTTTTTTTATTTTTTTTATCTTTCTGTGTTCCTACTATTCTGCTTAGGTTACAATATCTCCCCTCTTTCCCAAAACCCCACAATATAAAACCCACTTAAACCTACTAACCCCAACAACTTCTTAACTTGCTTAGAGTTGGAGATAGACAGATGCCAGCCTGGTTTGACTTGGACGTGTATCCAATATGACTAGTGAGGAAGAATCAAAAGAGGAAACCTAGGGTCTTGGAATAAAGGCACAATTAACAGTTTACAATTAGTTTAACCTTGGCAAACCACATTCCAGATATGTCATTAATGAAATGATTTGCATGCTTCTGTTCTCTATAATCAATGTTAGACAAGTTAAAGTAAAGAGTAAAGACTTACGCTCCCATACTCATTCTTAATACTAGGACACATTGCATTCCAACACAGGATAAAATAAAATCTTTGAAACCCAACGATCAAATTGAGGCCCATGGTACAGATGTCCAACTTTCAAATTCTGCAAATCAGTAACCACTGATTTCCTTTTTGGCATGCAATAATCCATGCTAAACTAAAGAAAGAGTAAAATAATCATCAAACAAAAAAAAAGAATCGCACTATCTATATACCTTCTATTAATAACATGGCATCCAGGAAAAACTGACGATAAGAATCTTGATCCCCACTTCGAAGCAATGCTAGAAGAGAGCCAATGGTTTCAAGAATCACTCCATGTCGGTCCCTGTGTAGTTCTTATTAATTCTCCAACAAGAGAGCAATGAACAAATGACAGTATGACACCCCAAAGGCACTAGGCACTAGCCTAGGGTAAAGGGATTTTTTTTAAAAAAAAAATTCAAAATAGCTCCTTATCTAGTTTCCTTCATGGAGAAATATGGATCTACACCACAGCAAAACAGTATGGAAATGAACAAGAAAACTTTTGCTTCGTAATACTAGAGATTGACATGTCCATTTACTCAAAGACAAAAAAAAAACCAGCATCCTTTTTGACATTATGCTCATATTTACCAATATCATCCAAACAGCAACTAACATTCCAAAATTGTCCCACATTGGTTATGTAAGTATAAATAACAAGGCACGCCTGAGACCTGAGGTCCATTGGACACCATACACATAGATGCATTACTGGGGAATTACCACAAAAATTGAAGGCATCTCCACTCGCATTAAAATATTTTTTTAGTCAGTATTATAAAAGTATCATCCCTCATAAAATTCATAATTTATACAGTTATAACTCATCAAATGATAAAAAGTTAAACACCAAGCCTCAATTAAACAATACATAACCCTATTTTTTCAGCATTCGCAACGAATTCCTTGACTTACAGCTCACAAATCAATCAAATTCATCAACACATTGAAAAAAATGTCAGAAATATTTAGAGACCTAATTTAGAAGCTTACAATACACAACGTCCAACGTACAAGCTTTTAGTACTTCATATAAGTCAAAATATCCAAAAATAGCATTCAAAATATTGAATTCAAGCAACTTATAAAATAAAAGAAACTGAAATTTTCGGTACCGGAAAGTCGGCTCAGCAAAGAACGGCAAGAGGCGGCCAATAACCGGCAAAATTGCATTCGATTTTCCGTGGTAGAAAACGCCAGGAAAATTCTTGGCGGTATGATTTAACAACTTTAATACTGCAATTACTTCTCTCTCATTTGCTGCACCAAAAAATCAAAAAAAAATTCATCAAATTGATGCTTTATTTCTGGTAATATTCAAAAATCTAGGTCAAATTGATGCTTAATTTCTGGTAAAATTCGATTTTACAGGAGAGAGAAAGTGAACCTGAAGGAGAAGCGATGACGTAGGCGTTGAGGAGATTAGGGAGAACGGAGCGAAATCTGGTTTCCAAAGCGACGTCGTCTCGTTTGCTGTTGGTAGGTGTTGAAGATGAAGCTGCGAATCTTTCTCGGAGTTCGTGTACCAAGCTTGAGATGCTTGCCATGGCGTCGCTTTTTCTCTCTCTTCTGTAGCTCTAGTGTCAGAGACACTGGTGAAGACGAAGAAGAACAATTTTCTTTTTAATCATTTTTTTCCCTCTTTGATTCGAATGTGTGTCGCGCTCTGTGTTTTTCCCTCTTCTTAATTCAATAAAGAATTAAAGAATAAAAAGTACTACTCACTTTGTTTTGTAATGGGGTGCACGGCATATATGTCAAACTAGATACTCTAACTTGTATTGATTAAATAATTAAAATAAAAATTAATACAGAGTAGAAAGTCAAAGTGATGAAAGTCAAAATTATTAAAATATGCATTGTAGAAAGTCAAAGTGATGCACTTAAAAAAAAAAAATGCGTAATGTAAGAATGTGGATGTGGATGTCAAGTAGATTAATTGGTTAAAATTTTAAAGGTGGTATCCAAGATCTGATATTGAATCCACCCTAAATAAATGGTTCCATATTGTATAAGACTATAAATAAAATGAAAACCAAGAGTATATGCACTAATAATCTAGTATAAACCATGAAAAGAAGTATACAAGAAAGGAAAGGCAAAATTAAATAAAAATTGTTACAAGTTATACAAGAAGACAAAGGATTAAAGAGATTACAACAAGAGATTTCGCATTTAATCATCAATCGTTTCCTAAGAAGATAGCACAAAATTATGCCCCATTAATATTATGATGATCTTCAATGATGAGCAACCTCCTTAGCTCCTTCAGCAATAAAAGGATCGGCACCCATGTTAGAGGGAGGGAAGAACACAGGCGGCATGGAATTAACATTAACATTCATCGGATAAACACGGTACTCAATATCCAATTCTCTGAAGATCTTTACACATTCTTCTATCAATTGTGCGCGTCTTACCCATCTTTCTCCCATGTCTTGATGGTTCATTCTATGTGTCACCCATATTGCTATCCTCAACATGTATAGATTTTCGGCGTCTTTCACAACTATCATTGGGTCTGGATACCAATGTTCCTTCTTGTTCACGATATAACTGCACAAAAAATTACAAGAATTAGCTTACTTGTATGTTATAAGGTAGATTATATAAACTACAAAAACAAATTTAGTTTAACTTCAATAACAGATTTTATTTACCTAGTTATTCTTTGCCTAATAAGTGCAACTTTCTCTGGAGGAGTAGCAACATGAAGGCAAAATTCAACAGCATCTCCCATATCAGGGCTACGATAATAGTTATGAATGGGCTTCGATATAAGAATGTAGTTCGGATATATGATCTTCTGGTTGTCGTACCTTAAGAAAACTGTAGTTAAAATGTTCATCTCTTCCACAACCATCTACAAGAGGAAATCGAAGTTAATAACAAAAAAAAAAAAAAAAAAAAAAAAAAAAAAAAAAAAAAAGTGGAATATATGGTAAACAACTAGACATGAAAATTAAGCAAATTTATATAGTTATAGTCTTTATACCTGAACTCCATCGATCTCACAACGATCACCAACATCGAAGGGGTGTATAACAAACAAGAAGATGATGGACTCGAAGACATTCTTACAAGTGTTACCAAAAACAAAAGCCACAACAACAAGCTGAGAGCTTAGGAATAAGATGGACTTTGATGGTATGATGTTAAGCGCGATTACAGCAATCAGAATTATGATTATGCTGACTAAAACATCCACCATCTTGTGTAGCTTGTTAACAGCTGTTTTCGTGTCACTAAGAGTTAAAGCCAGTGCTCTTCGTTCACGAAATGCATTAACCTGTGAAGAAGATTGTAAGGAGATATGATGAAATTTTACTGTCACATAACCTTAAGCAATTAATAAGAAGGGGTTTTATTAGTGAGTGTTCATACCACCCAATTCTTCAATGCCGACTTGCTTATTCTTCCAGCTTCAGAAGCTCCTTCAAAAAGACTCATTGTTTTATATGCCTCATCTTCTTGCATAAATCGCATAAGGTCGCTCAAATAAATGTACCTGACATTAACATATACCTCAAAAACTTCAGGTCGGTTCAATACAAGGTAGATTTAACTAACTAAACTAAGCTACTGTACATTGATGTGATCTACATCAAGGTACTATTTAGTTCGTGATTTTGTTAAAGTGGGAACTAATTAATAAAAGAAACAAGTAATGAGGAACCAATTAATGTAGAGAAAATGTAAAGAACACAAGAAATTTTTAGCAACTTCTTATATATGGTACTTACCTAGACCTTGGTCTAGCAACATTGCGGAATATTTTCTTTGCTGCGGCTTTAGCCTCAACCTCGCTCCTAATTTGTGTCGTGGACTCGTCTTCATGAGTCGTATTAGTATTCTCTATACGTTCATCTAATGTAGTCAAAAATCCATGTCTTACAATTCTTATCAATCGTTTCATATTCCAAGCAGAGACATTTTTTTGGTTTAGCCTATGCAACCGATCAATTGGTATTCCTTCGTCATGATACTTCTTACCAATTGGCCCTGAAAGGCCTACACTTTGTCTCACGGGACTCTTGATGGGTTGTGACACGGTCCCTGTCCCGAGAGTCTTACTGTTCTGGCTATATAGATGCTGCAAACCCACGGTTGCACTCTTACTTCTTTCGAGAACAGAGGTTTTAAGATCAAGGGGAATATTGATCCCTGCATTTTGTAGCATCTGTACCTCGGCCATTGCCCTCTCCTCTTCTTCTCGAGCACTTCTTAAGTCGAACAAAGGAGGGGCTGAAAGTGTCTCGATCACAAATTGATTGAACAATGACTCTTGAATCCTATCAAAGAACGCGTTCACATGGAACGTCGATGCACAAACCTTAACCATTAAGGTCTTTAACAGCCATAGAACAGCACCCCCTTCACCTATGACCAAGAGTTTTGTGACAATCTTCAGAGGCTCACTCGTAGCCTGAGTCGCAACTTTATTGTCGAAAATGCAATGCCAAGTTAAGATAAGAAGTCCTAACCAGATAACATTTTGGACCGCCTTCTTCAAACCATATACAAAGTACAAAACCCGCTTTCTAAGCAAGAAATTCCTCTCAATAAAGAACACAAGAACTTTAATCACCCAACCCGAAACCAACCTCCCGGAAATGAGCGAAAGCCCAAAAACTTCCCATTTCCACAACTTTAGCTTCCATATAGATTTATGCCTTAAAACAGGAATAACAAGGCTACAAACTAAAGAACCTATCAAAATAACAAGACTTACCCATTCAAGAATAAGTAAGGTACTAATTTGTCCTCTTTTGTACTCCTCAGGCAGGTCATCCTCCAAGAAAGGATCCTCCTCCTCCTCATCACCCATCGACGATTTCCCAAGCAAGCCCGACTTATTATTATTGTTATTGTTGTGGTTGTTGCTGTTGCTGTTGTTGTTCAAGATTTGGCCCGACTTTGGTATAACCCCTGACGTGGACCTTTGATCAAATGGAGTAGGAGGAGGATCCATAAGCCTAGACCTGGTCTTAGCTATGGAAACCGTACTACTCATCTTCCTCGACGAAGAATTAGATGTACACCGTATAACCTCATTCAAATCATCCCCTCTATCATGATTACTACTACTATTAGCATTGTTCATCATCTCCCTCTCCTTTAAGTTAGCGTTGTTAGAATTATTATTCGAATTTTTAGATCTCCTCCTATGAACACTCACCCCACCACCCCCCACAACTCTTGTTGTTGACCCAAATTCTTCATCATATACATCATGATGATGATTATTCCCATGATCACCCGCCTTCGAGGAGGAGGCATCATCATCATTGTCATCGTCATCATCATCAACCTCAGATGAAGATTGCCTAATCATATTCGGGTGGTTGTACGGATTAAACGACTCTTGAAACGAAACACGTGTCTCCCTCGACGCAGCATCCATGTTATTATTGCTACTAATACTATTGCTACGGGTGTTCAACATTTGGGTTAACTTATTTCCATTACCATTAGCAATTTCCGGACTTTGAATATCGCTTCGATAACTCAAACTCTGCCTCGATAAACAATCAGGAGGCAAAGGTGGCAAACCTTGTAATACTTGTCGTCGAATACTATGATTATCATGATGTGAATTCATATATTGTTGTTGCTGTTGTTGTTGCAGTTGTTGTTGCTGTTGTTGTTGTTGTTGGCGTCTTAGATGATCATCTTCCATGTCTACCTCGTCTATGTCGATATCTACCGACAATTCTCCGGACATGTTATGTCGTCGTTGTAGGCCTTGTAGCTCTTGTTCTTGCTCCAAGAACTTGCCTATCAATGAATCCGACGGCGACAACGTGGGGTCCTCCGCTGCTTGTCTGAAGGAAAATTCTGCCATGTTGGAAAAGGGAGGACGTCCAATTTTATTCTCTTCACCTTTCTTATGATACAACGAGGTAATATTACCATTATTAAAAGTAGTATTGCTTTGTATTATGTCGTCTGAGGACTCGACTTTTACGATGACTTGGTGGTCACCTGGAGGGGTAGAGGTCATAGGATGATGGCCTGAAGCATCATCGTATTCGTCGTGGCGGTGATGAGGGAGGATGGGGTGATGTTCACCAATGGAGGGTGAAGAAGAAGAAGAGAAGATGTTTTGACAGCTATGGCGTTTGAAAGGAAAGGATATTGATTTTCTTAAGGAAAACTCCATTTTTAGAAAACAAATTCTATACCTATAATTACAACAAAATACAAGTGGGTTAAAATTTCAAAGGACAGGTAAGATAGATTGTGTTTGCTAAATATGGGGAAAATATAGTTGAAATTAAAAAAAATCAAGACTTTAGGAATTTAGGAGTTTTTATTTTTGTATTTGGGATGTATGTAATATAATTTGTGGTTGGGGAAATGTGGTTGTAGGCTGATTTTATGTTTATGTATAGAAATGCATGAGATTCTTAAGTTTTCTGGGTAATAAGAAAGGGAATTAAGAGGTAATCTAAGAGATGTGTATATATATTAATAGTTTAATTACTTTGTTGTACCAATACTTATTTTGAATTTTAACATAATAAGAATTAGCTGTATAATTTGCACCAAAAAAAGAAGAGATTAACAGTAAATGAATAAATTACTGAGTTTTCCAAAAAAAAAAAAAAAAAAAAAAAAACTGAAGAACCAAGTCAACCAGCTAGATAGCTGGCATTGGTAATTTGAAACTGATTCCAAAATTAACGCTTGTCCCATTGTTATTTCACACCTTTTTTTTTTTTTTTTTTTAGAACATTATTGCTATTTCACACTTCTTATTTCTTAATACCCTCTAAAACTAAAACAGTAATGAAAATTAAAACTACCGTGTTTTTTTGTGTTAAATGTACTTACCAGACTTACTACATAGAGGTTATTATAATCTCGTCTTTAATCATTCATTAAAAAAATCATGAGTCTAAATGTCTATACCTTGAAAAAGAAAGTAAATCAAAATCTACACGTGAAGTAATTGAAATGAGCAATTTCTATATTAATCCTTTTAATGACCAAATCAAGTTCTTTGTTTTTCCGTGTTACATTGACATATGATTATAGGTAGACACTTTACAGCTTGACCAACGATACTAGACGCAAAAGCAGAGCTCCATATGTTGAATGAATTGAATATAACTAGGTATTGTATTTGAATTACTAGACGCAAAAACAGTAATTTTAAGGTTTTGTATTTGAATTACTAGTATAACTTAACGTGAGAAGAAGGATGTAGGGCTAAAAGCACAGTGTGCATGTGAAGGAGAGAGGAAATAGTTGGCGGGCTGAGTATGATACTAACGGTTTTTTGGTGAATCATTGTTTTTCATTTATTTGGCGGGAAAAAGCAGGGGGTGTTGAACAGAACATGACATATCACGTGAATCTGTAGTTGACTTTGACAAAGAGCGGCAAGAAAGACAGTGACTACCTAGATTTTGCCCGTCGTTTTCTTCTTAATTATTTTTCATCTTAGAAAAAACAGGCACGGCTCATGTGAGAGTATGAAATCAATGTTATATTTCTTCTGTTTCCTAAATATTGCAATATGACAATGAAATACAGATTTTGATAAGAGGAGAGATAGAGGTGAACAAAAATAATGACTCATGTGACAAGAAGAGAGATAAAATGAAAATATGTGCAAATAAGAAAATGTTGCAATATTTATAAAACTTCCTAAAGTAATAATTGTTGCAGAGGAAGTACATTATTACGGAGTATGTACTTAGGTGTATGGATATTAGTGGTTTGAGCTAAGCCGAGATCAAATTTGGGTTGCAAAGCTTAGCTAGTATTACTTGGATCAAGCTTCTATACAGAGTCTCGAGCTTTCAAGAATTTGAATTTGTCAAGCTCAGCTTACCTCTAAACTACGCTAATCTTAAAAGAATTATATTAAGATGATTCGAAGTATAACATAAATAAATTAGGATATCGTTGGGCTACAATAAACTACTCCGTACAACCATGCCAATTATTTTTCATTCGGGTCATTCCACCTCAAAGTATTAGTCTGCTTCATAATCTATGAGTCACACATTAGGGGTTCAGATTCTATGTATGTACAACATATACCAAGTATCATATACAGAGTAACTAAATGTTGAAAACTAAAAACAGAAAACTGGATGACCGTCTTTAATAGAAAATTTCAGTAATTTGTCATTTCTTCATCTGGCCGTAGAAGGTTTAACAAAGTTACAAAAAACTAACTCATTATGCCCCTTCTCAGTGGATGCAGATTGTAGACAGGGCACAAACGCAGGAGTGTGGGCGATAGTATAAAGAATATGGTTTACTTCTTAGGTGACATAAAAGCAACCCTAGAGTAGTTGTATATGCCGTATTGACAAATCACTGTACACTATAAGATGGGCAAAAAGCATATGTAGAATGACCTAGGCAATTAGAAATTAGTACAGAGGAGTTAACACTCAATGCAGCAGAAAACCTTGCTGTGATTTAGTGATGACCTCTTCTGAGAGCTGAGAAGAATCCGCCGCCACCATGTTTGTCTTTCTGACCTTCGGCACTTGCAACCTGTTCCAATACAGCCAATTTAGACAGGAGAGTCCAAAAAAAGTAAAAGGTACACTAGCAACCACTAACAGCATCAATTCACTTGTAGTGAGCTTTCCCTTATTCAACATTACTGGCATCACAACTCTTTTGCATTTTCCTCTCTTCTTTTCCCTCCTCTCCTTTCCTTTTCTAAACACAGCCTCTTAACTAACTTTTTGCCATATGTAAGGAAAATATTTTTTTATACTTCCTCCGTTCTTTTATTATTGCACCATAAGGGTTTGGCACAAATTTTTTGGAAGTGGAAAAAAGGATGAGAAAGAAAGTTAGAAATACAAAGTTGTCCATGTGATTGTATACACGAAATAAAAAGTAAGGGTTGAAAAGTAAGGGTATATTAGGTATTTGTTGTGTGAACACAAATATTTCTTTTCCTAAAATGGATATGGTGCAATATTTGTGAAACTTCCTTAAAAGACAAGTGGTAATTAAAAAATTATGATCCAGATCAGTCCAATCAAATCAATTGAAAGGATTAATAGATATAGCATATGACTCTATGAGTGGGCTTTCAAGTGAAATCATTGCAGAAATTTCAAGTGCAAGTGTGCAGCTATACTTTATCAATTGCTACAAGAAAGAAATTCTACCTCTTTGGCTATTTGCTGCAGAATTGGTATGATCTCAGAAAAGTCAGGTCTCGTCCGAGGATCTTGCTGCCAGCATCTTTCAAGCAGCTCGACAAGTTTGGGATGACAGTTCTTTGGCATAGTAGGTCTTAAGCCCTGATCACAATTACCAGACAATCTTAACCAGGTATTCGCACTTCTAAAAGTTGTAAGAAACTGAAAACTTAGAAAAGCAGAGGATTGTACAAGAAAAAAAAAATGGTGTGGCATATCAGAAAACTTTTTACTCCTATTACTTCAACAATCTACCCACTTCCTAAACCCAGTAATCGCACAATGTCCCTTATTGTATGCTTAAAATGATGGTAAAAGTTATATTTACCTTCTGCACTACTCCAACAGCTGCTTGTAATGGGGTTAAGTATTCATATGGAAGCTGCGCAAAAAACATTGTTAAATTACACTCAAGCAGGAAAATGAACAAGCTGTAGTGTTTTATAATTCAACAAAAACAAGATGCAGAAATGCAGAATGCACACCTTCCCTGTCAGTAACTCCCACAGTACAATAGCAAAACTGAAGACATCAGCTTTGTGATCATAAGGCTTGTGTTCAATAACCTTCAATAAAATTAGAAGTTAGAAAAATGCAAAAATAACAAAAATCTGATCATAAGAAACACAGTTTTATCAATAAAATGACCGATTCCCATTGCCTTAATTCATGTAATTTTCTTTTTTTACAGTACCCTTCACATGCCCCTACTTTTTCTCGTAAATTATACGAGGTGTACCAAAAAGAAATGGTGCAACTTAAATAGAAAGGGAGAAGTATATCACAAGGTTAACATAGGCTAGGCTGCAAGCAAAACTTAAAATTTGATCTCTATCCAAAACGGCGCAGTTGACCTCTTTAATCATTATCATTGATATTATATTTGACTTCCACCCCCCCCCCCCCCACCACCACCACCAAAAAAAACAAGGTATAAATGTAATATAAACAACTTTCAGTGTCCATACTGTCCAAGACAGAGACAAACCTCTGGAGCCATCCACCGGTATGTTCCAGTTTCAGCTGTCATAACACCAGTTTGAGCCTTTACTCTTGCCACACCAAAATCTGCAACCTTTACTACCTGCAGCACAAATATTTTAGTTATAAATTACAGCCTAAATAATGCTCACATGCCAATAAAAAGGAAAAACGCCAATAAATGCATAGAAGTAGACTCTGAACAAAAGCCGCAAACCAGTGCAAGTAATAGCAAGTGAAATTACCATAAACTGAACAAGTATTACTTATCAAGATAAAACTATAGGGCTCAAAAAGTATGCTTCGTATCACATTAGAAGCAGGTCTAGTTAGTAGTTACAACCTCACAACTCACACATAGGTCTCATGTATTAAAAGGGAAAAAGGAAAAATAAAAAAATAAAAAAATTATACTCTATGCAAGAATCTACCACAATATTGGCATGACAAATATAAAATGTCATCGTTCATTCTACCCTCTCACACAAGCCAAACTAGGGTTGGGTTGAGGTTCAGGTCCATATTACTCCACAATATTATTATCTGCTTAGATTCATTAACCTCGTAATTACAATGTAAATGCATATACTTCAAGGCATAGCACCTTCTGGCTACATGGAACGATCACTAATAGGCCTTATCATATACCAAAGCTATGTATACATAGCGCTCCAAAGTCAGTATCTTTAACCCTATGCACATCCAAGGTGTCCTCCACAAGCAGCACTTGTAATTGTCAGGCAATCTAGCATTCACTCACTAGATTAACGTATGCCAGACGCCAGACCTAGCAAAAGTAGTAAGAAAAGCCATTAATCTTTAAATTTTCCTATTTAAGGCGAACAACGAAGCAAGTGCAGCGTGAGTCATGGCCATGCAGTTTTAAAAGTGGCAATTCCAAGGTGGAGGAACAAATAACTCATAAGCAATATAATTCCAGAGCAGAGTTTGCAATTCAAAACATAGCAGCAAAAATGAGAATTGAATGCACATCATAACTCGCACCAAGAAAACAGCTAGAACCACCGCTACACAGAAACAGTCAACGGCTATCACAGGGATCCAAACAGCCAAAACAAACACTCCATAGAAATTTCAATCTAGCATATTTTTTAAAAAAAAAAAAACAAAAACCAAAAAAAAAAACAAAAAACCTTAATTTCAGAGCATAACATTCTGCTCTAAAAATCTCAACTCAGAGCAAACCTACATTCTTTTCTTATAAGTTTATGCCATTTTTTGAAAAAGCTTGCTTCTTACAAGTGAAAATATTCAGATCTTGAATCTTAACTAAGAGCACAGCTAGTCCTCCTTAAATTTCATGCACATTTAATGGGGAACTGCATTTCTGGTTAGGTAGAACACTCAAAAAAATGATGCTAACTCGGAAATCAGTTAATAAAATAATGGGTACTTGTGCATTATATAAACCACATGCATTCGTAATTTCATAGTTCCAGGAAGGACTAGTAAGTTCAGAAATAAGTTAATCAAATAAAAAAAAGGAAAAAAAAAAAGTCAAATTAAGCTTATTACAAACAGTAAAGTCCAGTGTAGTTGGCAGTCTTGGCACTAAATACACTACTGTCAGCTGGTAGCAACTATCAACTTCAAACTATTATTAAAGCAACAAAAGAAAATTTCTGTTGGGGGTGTGTTCAAGTACAAAATAGAACTGGAATAATTAATTTAGATGCAGGAACTACTTAAAACCTAAGTTACAGGATCAAAGAAATTCAATACTAATATTTGCTAGCCATAATAAGTACACATCAAAGGATCATTACTACTATTAGTAAACATTTGTATTTGAGAGAAAAAAAAACAGTAAGTACCTCATTTTCATCCATTAAAAGATTGGCAGCCTTCAAATCCCTGTGGATGATATGATTCTGATGCAAATAGTTCATTCCTTTGGAAACATCAATTGCTACTTTCAGCAGAGATGGAAGCTTGAATGTTCCCTTATGCTTGTGCAAATAGTCATAAACACTTCCACCCGACATAAATTCTGAGCATAAAACCAAGGAAAAAGAATATATTCAAGTTTTGACACAAATAAATGAACCATAAGAAAAGTGGAACTATAATACAAATCACCATATGATACAATACACAGCCAATAAGCCACGTTTAATATAATTATGATAGTTTATGAGGCAGACCTAGTGATCTGCTACAAAGTCTACCGATAATTTTTAACCCTCTTTTTACAATGCTAAATATGTACAGCTTCTACATGGGAACTAAAAAGCTTCTACAGTACAAAATCCCAGATTTAAGATTACAGAGTAGAGCTCAAGATATGTTCACATGTTACCTGTGACAATGCACAAACTTGGAGGTTTTGTACAAGCACCAATAAACTGAACAACATTTTTATGGCGAACTTTCCTGCAACATGACACAAAATTCTGCTCAAAAACAGTGAAAAGGAAATCTAGGAAGATAGCCAAAATTAAACACTTCATTTCATCTACAGAACATGCATAGATAAAGGAAAACATCTATTACCAGAGCCAAGTCAAGAATCGATACTAAGTTCAACTATCCAAGGCACAGTAGGCTCAGATCACTAGTATTCTTAACAGATTACAAACAAGATATCAGAACTAACAATCAGCAAAGTCATCTAAAAGAACTCAACAAACCCCGGTCATTATAAGCAGAAAATGAGGTTATATTAAGTCTTTAGAAAATGTCGTACATTAAAAGGGAAAACCAAGTCAAAAGCACAATCCCAAATACGCAGGAACTTAAGAGCTAAAAATCACCTCATGATATACACTTCCTGACCAAACTCTTTCTGCAAATCTGTATTAAGACGCTCAGGCTTCAAAACCTTAATTGCAACATCCTGACTGCAGTAAGTACCTTTATACCTATACAAATAAATAACAAGTAAGCAACTATAATAAACAAGGCACAAAATGAATTGTTACAACAAACAAAAATTCTAACTTACAAATCACCATATGATCCAGCAGCAACTTTATTCTCAAATTTCAAAAGTCTAGGATCAATTTCCCAAACATCAGTTCCGTCATTTGGTATAGCCACGTGATCATTTGGTATCACCACGTGATCTTCACTAGCTTCATTTGGGGATTGCTCTTGCTCATCCATAGGAGATGATGATTGTTGACTGCGCCAAGATGAATTCTGCAAAGCCAGAAAGAACCCTGTTGTTAAACAAAGAACAACAAAACAAAACAGAGTCGTGTTCCACAAACATTAGACAACCCATTTTTCAGAAGATATTAATACAAGTCTGAGAGCTATGTTCTTTTCAACTGAGAAGAAAATCAGAACTACAATTTGATAAACTGGTTTGGAAACTAGAAAATAGGCAAGATTGGGTGGTAGACTGGTGGAGTGGTGGTTATTGGGTGAGAAATTTGACATATACAAAGGTCAAGAATTTTGACATATACAAATGTCAAGAATTCCAAGGTTCCAAAATGGTCATCGACAGCATGAAGAAAAGTAGTATAGATATGAAGCATGTCACCTTGTCAAGTTATCAACAGCTAGACTAAACAAGATATGAAGAAATATAAAAGCAATACAATTACCTCAATTCTTTTAAGTTCTTTTTCCAAAGCAGACCTGAGCCTCAGTGTCTCCTAGAAAATCGAATAAGAAGATGTTGAGGTCAAATTTTGAGCTCATTAGAGGAGCATCTCATATAACACATTAACACATCCCAAAAGATAACACAGTTCAGCTTGGGTCAAGGGACACAAAGAAAAACGAGTGACGAAGAAGGCAGCCCATGTATTCTAGAATACCATGAGGTATTCATTAAGAGTTATAGTATCATTAATCAAAAGGTTTTATCGTAATGATGATAAAATTGTAATACTACGGAGTAAAATAAACAGGCCTAACACTGCATAATTTATAGCTATTACTGAATGTTAGAGTACAACATTGCCACATTGTTAAGATGGTAACATTCAGCGATAGAATATTAATGTTTAGCACAAGATTAATGGAGCAAGCACTCCAAATTCAAAAAATCTGCCCTTGACACTCCAAACACAGTCACTCTTAAGAGCATTGTGCACTGCGGTGACTGTTTTTTATTGAAGAACCATAATGAAATAACATTACCTCTACCAGCTGCAAGGTCAAGCTTTTATTTTTCGAATTGACAGTAAGCTTTAAGATAGCAAACTACACATATCTATACTGATCTATCAAAAAACGTTCCTATTACATTGCATGTTGCATCCATCACATGACATTCTCCTTCAATCAAAAGAATCTCATTTTATGTCATTCGCAATTTCACATAGACACATTTGAAATGATACAAACATTGTTAGTGGAGGATCTCACTTTATATCATTCAGATTTCACATAGATGCTATCTTTTTAAAACAAGATATAACAATGACTATGAAAAAGATAAGTGATAGAATAAGAATCCTGCCATGAATTTCACACATAAAGTCACAACTATTGTCCATATAATAATTTTACACGAACACCAATCAATGATTCACATACAAAACAGCACAATACCTCCCTCCCCATCCCCTCTTCAAAAAGTGATAAACAAAGATGACTAAAATGTCCATAACCAAGGCCAGCTTAACTGTATGAATATAAAGATATAGATGAAAGTACCTCATACGGCCAACCATCAACAACAAAAACATCTAAAGAGTAACCATCTGTGGTAGAAAAGGCATGTGCTTCCTGAATATTCAACCCAACGTCGGCCAGTAGGGATGTTAACTGCAATGATTAAAACTCATTCAAATCCTAATGATTGTGTATGATTAGAACACCAAATAACAGACAAACATATATTTTGAGAAACATATTCCATAGTATAAGCCTATAAGGAAATAATCACACCTGCCACAGTTACTGAGATCACAAAACAAAACAAAAAAAAAATTATCAACACCACCATATGTTTTTATGTAATATAACATGAGTTTTATGACAATGTCTCATTGTGTAACTCAATAATCTTATGCCAAATTAAATACCAACCTGACTAAGAAGTTTTGGTTTGTCATCTGTGGAAAAGGTGATCTCGTGCATGGGCCTGCAAAGTCATCAGCTTGACTTGTAAGTATCAATGTACAATATGAAAAGGAATGCACGAGAAACAGCAACCACAAGTATAAGTGCTAAAGGAGCAATTATGCAATACGTGAACTCTACTACACACAATTAGATATCAAATGGATGAAGAGGATGGCATTATAACATCCTTACAAACTGGATTAATACCATCCAGCAATAGCGTTTCAAGCCCTACATATTGAAGGAAAAAAGAAGGGTCCCGGTATGAGTGCCAGAACAAAGAGTCGTCTACTCATCTTAATAGCAGAATCCTTTTAGTCTATCAAGATTTTCTTGATCATATACAGTTGACATCTCCTCCTTTGAGCAAGTGTCATATTAGAGTAGTCTGGATAGAGCCATTTTGCAGATAAGATCAACCTTTCAATGATACTCTGCCTGAAAATTCAGTTCGATAACATTGCTCTATAACTAGAAGTGCCTCCCAGAGAACATAGTTTAAAGTCAAGCAGTATCTACACAAAAGAGAGAGAAACTTGAGAGAAGAAATCTCCCCAGAGGATCTCCAAAGGATAATTTCCTAGACATGGAATATATATTCACAAAAGTGTACACAATGAGGTGAAATTACGTCTAGCATTTACCGAAACAGCTTTGAAGTAGCATTTGCATCATCATCATCTTCCTCGTCATCATGTGGTTTGTGTCCTTCAAGCGCAAGGGCCTCAAGATTAGGTGATGAGCCAAATGCAGGTGGTGGGTGACTACAAACAAATTTTAAAAAAGGAGTGGAAGTTACATCAGCAATGCAATGAGCAAGATTGACATAATGGAAGGCCTTACTAAAGCAAAAACATAATAATACACACCTTTTTCGAATTGAAGGAGTAGATTCTTGATCCTTATCTTCTGAGTTCCCATCAGAAATGGTAGCAACCTAATCAGAGCAGAATTCATTAATGCATGAAAATTTCCAAGGAATAACAGACTCAATCTTAAAATTGAATAACCATGGTTCATACAAATCAGTAAACAAAATTCATTCGAGATTCTCAAACTGTTCCTCGGCAACTAAAATGCCTATGATGCAATTCATCAATGCTTACATTCGTGTTCCAAAACAACAAACAACCACTCATGCATAGAAAGCACACGAAATCGGATCTTAATTATTTAAAAACCAACATCACCCACTTGTTAATAAAATATACAAAAAACCGTGAAATATCCTCAAATTCACAATGATAAACTCACTGAAACAGTCGTCAAAGAAAACATACACGATAATGCTGATCATCTCTAAAATCAACAACAAATTTCTCTAACACCAACGAATACACCTAACATCAACCTACAATAATCTGGATTCCAAAAACATCTTCACACAATAGTAAACCTAAAATTTCAAAGTTAATCATAATTCACATACAGTACTTTACAGCACGATTAAAATCTATCAAATAACCAAAAAATGCGAAATTATGCAAACATTAAGACATGAATAAAATCCGTAATAAACATAATTAAAATCAAAAAATTGGTAACCTGAACTAATCGCACGTCAAATGCAGGTCTATTCGCTGGATCATGAGCAAGATGCAATAATTTTTTATGCAGTAAAACATCTTCTGCTCTCTCAACATTTACATCCAACGCATATCTACATTTTTCCACCAAAAATCAAAATCAATAAAAATCCCTCCAAAATTACACAGAATTAACCAAAAAATAATTAAAATTATAATCAAAAACCTAGCAGGAAGACGATGAAAGTGAGCCCAAAGTTCGTCGTCGAAAGAAGGAGGAGAAGATTCTGGATTGTTCGATTCCTTCAACCTTCGAAGAACCTCATTGTACACCTCAAGTTTCTGGCGTTGCTGCCTTGAATTTTGCGCCGCCGTCGCAGACGCCGACGACGTCGTTTCCGCCGCCGCCGTTTCTGCCGCCCTGCTACTATTGCAACTACTCTCGTTATCTTCCATCACCATTTCCCTCTTCCTCTTTCTCTCTCCTCCGATTTCGCTCTGAAATGTTAGAGAGAGAAAATCGGAAAAAACAGTGAATTAAATAAACAAAAATTCTCTCTCTTCTTCTTCCCTTTTATATCAATCTTAATTCCTCTTAATAATTGTGATTATATTGAGAAATTATTCAGATTTAGGAGATAATATAAAGAAAACAAAGGAAATAAGTATTATTATTTTTTTCCTTTTTTGTGAAGATTTTTGATAATAACGAAAAAATAATTAGGATTTTGTTTAATTTTTCTCTAACGGTAATGCTGTTCTAAAGAAAAAAGGATTTTAACGGTGTCGTAGTGGTGACCCAATCCGATGAAGAGCTGACGTGGATTATGCTTTAGAACTGATCCACTAGAAAAGGCATTAAATTAGCTAAATTTAATTAGTGTAATTGATTACTATTGAATTACTTTGGTCAATATTTTTTAAAAAATAAAGATAATATAGTCAAATTTAGGTATGATTAAACAAAAGTTTTTCGCATGTTTCCCTCTTCTTTTACTTAATTGACTACAAGAATTATGGATTAGAATATTGTAATTTGTGACTAATGGAGTAGAGTCTAAATTAAGCCACGTGAATCCACCTCCTTAACCACAATTGTTTAACGAATATCGAGGTAGGTGATGGTAACTTCTAGGGTTGTTGTTTCTTGATCTCTTGTTTAGGAAAGTATGGCGGTAATTGTGTACGGAGTACTAATTTAGATTAATTGTACGATTTAAACTTGTATACAAATTACGGAGTGTATTGTATAGTTGATTTATTTGAAGAAAAGTATCGTATAATTGATTAACTACTCGATTTAATTGATTTGTTAAAACATGTATCGGATGGTTAATAGGGTAATTTACCAGCTCTTAGAGAGTAATCTTTTTCTTGTAGAAATTATTATATACACCCGGGTATACGGTGCACCTAAGGGTATTGCCTGCTCATTTCAATAATTATTATCGCTCATTTTATTATCAAATGAGCAAACAAATACCCTTGGGTGCACCGTGCACCCGGGTGTATATAACAATCTCTCCCTTTCTTGTTTTCTCGCATTTTGTGAATTTAATTTTCTCGACAAAGTTTCAAAATTGATTGGTCTACACATGTGTGACTCAGTTGACATATAAATATCATCAAATAGCCACTCGAAACTATTTAAAAAAATACAAAGTACAAATTTTTTTACTTATAACTCCACAAATTTATTTATTTATTATTGAGAAGAAACTTCATAAAATTATGTCTAAGGGTGCATGAACATAAACTTTCTCTATTAATTTGGCAAGCTAAGTCATTACTACTCATTCACTTGCTAAATATTAAAAGACTTTTATTACGTAACTCATGCCTTAGTAATATCTTGCTCCATGATAATAAGCATATGTATGGATGGAAACCACATACAATACATATCAAATATCACTCACATATATCATACAAAACAATAATAAATCTATGACCACTATGTTCTTCCTTAAGAAAAAAAAGGAGTAAAGGAAAAAGTGGATTGGATAAAGTGCACAAGAGATCACAAGCACATTGTTTAAGTTGCTCATTTCATGAGGTGCATTCAATTGAATGATGAAAGCTTCCATGTATGGTTGAGAATGAAACAATAACGTGGATAAGATGAGAGCAATTACTCTTTCACAAAAGGTGTCACTTTATTAAAAAAAAATAAAAAATAAAAATGATATCAAGTCAATAATTCAATATCCTATTTTTGCTAGCTATGTGTGTGGTAGTGACAAAACCCTAGCATTTAGGAGCCAGATACATCTCGAGTTTTATGAGTTGGTTAACAAAATGTCCTAAGTCATTTGGGTCACTTTCTTTGGATGATCCCACAACACAAAGTATAGGGCGGCATATCCCCCAACAACATTTACAATTACACTAATAAAGCTTCTTTAGAGTTGATGTTTTTGGACCACTTCAATTTTGTGGACCATAGAACCATGTACTCGATCGAGCAATAGTGCTATTCCTATTAATGCTATATATGTTGATCGTTGTACGGACGGACTCGTGACAATTAAATCAATATATTACTAAATATTCTTCATATACAGAGAGTAATGAATATTCTTGGATGTTGCTTATTTGGATGTTATGAACTAAGTGGAATGATCATGAAAGCTAATTGAATTGGGTACATATAAATGCATGCCATCCATATCATATTTGAGTCATTTGACATCAGTCATTGTACCCTAATTTCATGATATTGAAATCAATTATTAAGCTATTACTTCGTATTAATTATATACGTCAAGGTAAAAATTTCCTTAAAAAAATTTAAAATTATATACGTCGAGTTGAAAATTAACATCAAGATAAAATTATTGATAAAAAATCATAACATTTTTTACTTGTATGTTAATCATGAATACTTGGAAAATATATTGCGTACTAGGTATATAATAAATTTTGATTTGTTTGTTTTGGATAATATATTTTTTTCCCTACAAAAGCAATGCAATACAAATGACACACTGACACGTGACTACATTCTAGTGAAGCTTTGCATAATGAACAAGAGCAATCAGGGGCTGTCTTACTGCTAGGACAACAAAACTTGTTTGGTTTGTTTGTTTGTTCAAGCATCGATCATCTATCATAAAAACTCATACATACATTCGGGTATACTTTTCATGATAGCTGGTAAATAACTAAATATGAAGCTTTTCTTAGCCTGTGATGTATTATGGCTTATTGCCAATAAATTACTATTCTCATAATCTATAATATTATTAAAACTCATAGATACAATATGTTAATTAACGTTATGTGTCATCCTTCCTTCTATAAGTACTCCATAGTTGTTTTATTTATTTGAAAAACTATTTGTATGTATAACATCTTATTTATTTACTTCTTATTAATATTGTTCAACATTAACCATTCTAAATTAATTTTGATCAAACTTATAAATTTATGATAATGTGGGGTATACATCATCCGAGCCAATAACTAGTTTAATTTATAATATAGTATCCTTCAATCCATTCAAATAGATCAGATCATTATCTTATCCGACCTTATCATTATTATATTTATATTGTTGATCATGAATAAATGAATTTATCTTATTATAATTTTTTTAGATGTTATTAAACTTATTAATGCTTATTAAGTTATTATCTTATATTACAATGTGTATAATTTACCAAATTTATAGTTATATCAATTTATATTATCTTATCTTATCTAACTTTATACACATAACTTATCTAAACAAAAATTTCGTACTCCTTGTAAATGAATTTAATAAACCTTATTTTAGTTGTGAATTAACTTTGGTTAACGACCCAATTAACTCATATCAAAATTTATTTATCATGAAATTATTTTATATTGTATGAATTTTTTAATACTTATCTTATTTTTTGAAAAATTATTTTTTGAATTTGATTATTAGAATATATTCTATTGCTCTTCTTTTTTTTAAAATTAACTTTTCCATAGTACCATAGCCTAGATAGGAGTCTTAGACTTGTCAAAAAAAATCAAAAAAAAAAAAGATAGGAGTCTTAGAGATGATCCAAATGACGTGGAGGATATAGATTGGTTGAAAGTGAGGTTCCAAACTACCTCCTACGTGGCAAATGACCTTTGGAAATAACCTAGAGAGCCCAAATAAAGTTTGGAGTATCCATTTGGCAAGCGGCGATTAGCAGCCGTTTGTAAATAACTTGGAAAAAAATAGAAATGCTATACAAGATAGGATATTCCATTATTGCTATGCATTATTAGTTTACTACAAGAAGTTTTACTTTAATTTATTGGTTATTGAATATATAAATCAATAATTCACTTGTGGGTTGAGCACTTCGACCATGAGCTATAATTCATAATTATATTAATCAAGTAAATACTCCCTCCGTCCTTAAAAGAACGATCCTTTTGGGAAGTTTTCACGGGTATTTAAAAACTTAAATGGGAAATACAAGTGTATGGGAAATTAAAGCAAATAAAAGTACATTGAAAAGGTAAATTTACTTGGAATTTACAAAAAATTAGAGAGTAATAAAAGTACATGAAAAAAGCAAAATTTACATTGAAAAGCTAATTTTGCACAAATATTATTGTAAATTGGAGGGTATTTTAATATAAATGGGATAAATATTTTGAGACTAAAATTTGACCAAAAAGGTCATTCTTTTAGGGACGAAGGGAGTAGTAAGTTCTACTCCGTATCATTTTGCATATTATGAAAAAAATGCAAAAGACCATTTATTATATTGTTATTTCACTTTCATATCTTTTTTAACCCCTTGCCCCCTTTGCAGAATGGTAAGAAAATACCTACAACTCTACAAAGCTACAACGACTATAATAGTGTTGATAGAAATTTCCGAATTATAGAATTCATGAGTTTCAATCAATGATTTAGTCCTAGCTATTTAAGAAAAGTGTTTTAAGTATAGATAAAAGGAAAAATTAACAAGAAACCTCCTGACTATTACTAGTCTTCTTTAAAAGGGTCAACCTTTTGATTAATTTTGGATGGACCCAACTATTTTGTGTAGTTCACACGCGTGGACCCAGCTTGTATCTGACTTGCTATTGTAGGTAAAATATGTCACATGTATATCACGTGACCTTGAATTTACAAAAATAAAACCTTCCTTCAATATTGCAATTTTTTCTTCTTCTCTTAAAATTGTTGCAACTTTATAAATCTTAAAATTATTGCATAAATCAATCCAATATGCATAGTGACAAGCAACAATCGTTCGGATTAGACTACAAGTTAAGTTATGTAATAGGAATTTACGTGGTTATTAATTATCTACCAATTTATGTAATACATGAGCAAAATCTGCATTATAGTTGATTAAATATTGCCACAACCACCCCATGTCCCCTACCAATTAATAAACCACCACCATCAAAGCATGCAACCCCACCCACAAAACCACCAACCCAGATCGATTAACCCATCCATCTCCATGGTAAGTTTAAAAAAACCCACCCATTCAACCACCACAAAATTGTCACCAAGAACCTATTGCAATAATACACCCCCATCAATAACCTTTTCGAAGCCACCAAGGCACCAACTCACCCCTACAACAACCCACCTGCCCATGTTAGTGACGCCACCATAAAGCCCCCAACATAATAACCTTATCAACCTTCGCCTAGAGAAATCGATGGCCATATATGATATATAGAAAAGGAGGTTAAGCAAAGAGAGAGAAGATGAGTAGCCATCAATTGGCCATGGTTGTGGGATAGTGAAAAAGTT